AAACCAAACAAAAAAAAACCCACAAAAAAACCCCAGAAATCCCAGGGCCTTGGCCACAAGACTGAGATACTGCAGGAAACTGGCTGAAAAGAGTTTCTATCATCAGTAGTAGACAAAAAATATCCCAAGTGGAGGAATTCTACTTAGAATAGTTTGTAAATAAATTGAGTGAGGTAAAGGATATTTGTAGGGGTAAAAAAAAAAAAAAAAGAGCCATAAAGTTATTGCTAAACCAGTAAAAGCAGTGGCAAAGTGTTTTGTTAATCTCAGAGGTGTTCTCACAGGATGGCTCTGTCCAGGTGAGACCAGCCCAGGTAACACCATCTCACAGCATCCCCACCAGAGGTGACGAGCCTGAAGAGCCAGAGGGAACACAAGGATCCAGGAGAGAGGTTTGGCCAAGAAAAATGAACAGAGGGAATTTTAGAGGGAATGTTATTGTTACCTGTCACGGGTTAGCAGCAAACAGAGCCCTCAGGATTTCAGTAGTTTCAGATGGAAGGAGTCAGACAGTTCATCAGGCTTTGAGGAAGGATTTCCTCAGCTCTTCACAGATTTTCTGTAATTATTAACTTTAGAACTGATGATTCATCAGAGTACCAATGTCCTATTTCACCTCCACTTTAGACTCTAACAACAAAATTTAGGTCTTCGAACCATCAAACCCAGCTGGTTTTAGGACTTGCCAACCCTTAAAAGACCATTGTCCAAGAGATCCACCTCCAGTTCTGCTGCTGGCCATGCCCAGACCTGAAATTCAGCCTTGGCACCCACCTATGCCACCCTTCACTGTGAGCTGGGGTGGACCTGCAGGTCAAGCCCTCTGACCCCTCTCACTGCTTAGGGCTGCACCACAGGCCTTGTGCATCTCCTGTCATCCCCAAAAATCTGAGCCAGGGCTCTAAACCCCCTCTGTGAGGTGTGAGTTGTCCTCTCCACATCATCCTGACCCTGGGGTGACTCCACCAGGAGGACTCTGAGCTCCTGGAGCTCCTCAGGGGTTCCACACGTTGAAATCCGCACTGAGCACAAATCCAGGAGACTCCGTGGTCCCATCACCTTCCCCAGACACTTGGTCTCTTCCTGCTGGTAGGTTGGATGGAGAAAGGAGGAAAAGCTAAAAGAAGGCAAAGTTACACAGTTAGAGCCCAAGGGGAAGGAGAGGCACATTTCCAATGGGATCACAATGCTCCTTTGCTGGAGTGCTGCTGGAATAAACCAAAGATCCCCTCCAGCAGCAGAGTTTGCAGTGCCACAATGTCCCACGACACACAAGGACCTCTGTAGTGACATTGTAAAGGCAGCAGGACTTTTCTTGAGCAGCCAAACCTCTGACTTCCTCAATTCCTTTCATTTCTGGGCATATTGAAACTGGCCTATGAGAGTCAATATTGCCAAACTAGACAGAGTGATGTGATTGAAAGACCCTCAGTTAATAAAACTGTCACTCAGCAGCACAAGGAGGTATCTATGAGGGAAATTTTGAAATTGTACTCTTTTGGGTAACTGTCATTTGCTCTTAGAAATTACATTTAAAATTAATGTTTGCTGTAGAACTTATAAATATTTGTTCAGGCTAGCATGAAGTATGCCCAGGATAATTTTAGCATGTACGCATCAGATTTTCATTTCACATCAGAGGAGACTCAAAGTGAGTCTGTTCCCTTCACAGCCAATGGAGTCTTCACCCCTGGGAGACAGGTCCTCCTCCCTGGGGAGCCCTGCTTGCTGCCTCAAGGCTTGGGGCATCAAGGCTGACACAGCCAAAGACACAGCTGAGAACTGCCATTGTTTTTCTGCTCGTTTTTCTGCTCATTTCACTGGGAGAAACTGGGAGCCAAGAGTCTCCTGTAGCTGGATCAGGGACAGGCAGGACCTTCTGCTCCCAGGATCTCCAACCCAAATCAATTACAGACACACTCCAAACACAATCTCCTCACCAAAGTTGGTACAACACAGATTCCTTATGGTGCTGGGACAAGATGTTCAGAGAGCAGAGTGGAATGGAGAAGTGAAAGAATTTGGGGGGATGAGCATCTCCAGAGACTTCCTCAGACACCTGTCAGAGCCATGGAGAGCATTGCCATGAATTCTGTGTGCCTGGGATCAGCCCTTCACTGTGCATCTGTGAGGACCTGCCCGTGGCCACATCAGTGTGTGGGAGCTTTGTATCTCTGCTCTGCTGTAGCACAGCCTGTCACACACTGAGATCCCTGCCCTACCACAACAGAAAATAAACCTCTGATTTTGGGTCTGGGGTTACTTTCCCTCCTGGTTCCTGCAGAGGAAGCACTTTGTAGCTCATTATTCGCTTGGTTTATAAATACCAGCACCCAGAAATGGACAAGGAGCATTTTGTGTTCCCCAATGTCTGATGGACAGGAACGTCTCAACCACCACAGAATCACTGAGGTTGGAAAAACCTTAAAGATCATCAAATTCAACCATTAACCCAGCACTGCCAGGTCCACCCAGACCTTGATGATGGTCTCCAACCAACAACACCTCAATTCTCATTTCCCCAACTGGATTTCTACAGTGTCTGAGGTTTTCCTCCTCTCCCATGGGCTCAGCCACCTGTAGTATCACCTGAGACATCTCACTTCAGTCTCTCCAGCTGCTGCCTCACTAGCAGTGACACTTCAATGACAAAAATTCTGTCCCTTGGTACTTTCAATCCTTATTCTGTTTGTGCAGCTCCAAAACATCAACCAACACAAACCTGGGCAGCACTTCCAGTTCTGCTTTTGCCAGAGCAGCTCACAGCATTTCACACAGCCCAGGGCTTTGTTTAGGCAGTAAGGGAAGAGTGCCTGGGACCATTCCCTGGCCCTGGGATGAGGCAGACAGGGGCACCTTCATCCATCCTGAGAAACTCCTTAAGCTCCAGAACAGGTGAGTCAAATCTTACGGGTCTGTTTGGAACAGTTCCTGTCCCACACTAACCCCAAACTGTGACTAAAATCTGCTTAGGGCTGGGTCAGCTGGCTGGGCCAGCTCCACACCAGGGTCCATCTTCATGGTGAAAAACATGGGATGTAAATTTCAAGACCTGAGGAAGATTTCCAGCTAGTGTTAAATTTACTGGAGCAGCTTAAATCCACGTGTCCCCAAATGTCATTGGACAAGTGCTCCTTTCTTAGACCCAGTTCAATAAAACCCATCTGGGTTCCAGGAAGATTTGCCAGGACAGACTACACCCAACATCCCCTTTGGGAATGAAACCCCCCAAAAAGAACAAGAATATTTAATAACTATGGTGGGTCACAGTCAGCTGGAAAACCCATCGGAGTAAGCCTGGGGAAATTTGGCCTCACAGTGCCTGCAGCAGGTGCAGGGAGTGATGGAGAGGGGACGTGTGAGCATCTGCTGTGTCCTTCCTTGGGTGTGCCATGGCCAGGACAGCACCCACCCCTTCTGAGGGCAGAAGCATCCAAACACCAAAATCAGGCAGAACTGGCAATCCAGACTGGCAGAAGCAAGAGGCAGGTGCATCACAGGATCATGGAATGGTTTGGGTTGGAAGGAACCTTAAAGATCATCTCATTCCACCCCTGCCATGCACAGGCACACCTTCCAGTGGCCCAGGTGGCTCCAAGCCCTGTCCAGCCTGGCCTTGGGCATTGCCAGGGATCCAGGGGCAGCCACACCTTCCCTGTGCCAGTGTGTGATTAAACACAATGAGGAATTTGTTTGTGCCCAGAGCCTTAAGATCCAGAGGAGGTCTAGAGCTTTCAAAATCATGAGATGCCTTGAGCTGCCCAAGACAGGACCTTAAATCACCATTACTGCCATGGCTCTGAAATAAACTGATTTGTTGGCTGCTCCTAAAGCACCTGATCACGAGGTGGTTCCACCCTGAGCAGCCCCAGGGCAGCAACAGAGCTGTGGTTGCTGAGATGCTTTAGGAGAAAAAGCAACTTGTTTGTCTTCTCCCATTTCTTTGTCCCATTCTGTCGAGTCATCTCCTCTGACTGCACAATAGCTCCTGTTAAAACAGGCTCTCTACCCAATAACAAGGATTTTAAAGTAAAATCTTTGTTGGGTCTATTTGCAAATCATGAAACTGATTCGGGTTGCTTTGGTTTTTTTCATTTTTAGGGTTACTTGTGTGAGGTTTTGATAATATTTTCATCTTCCTGCACCCAGAGATGCACTTCACAAGCAGTCCATCTGTGGGACACGTCCCCATCTGCCTGCTCCCCTCTCACCATGACATGGTATTTTTTTCTCAATAGAAAGCCAGGCTGCCCCTGCTCCCCCTCCATCCATCACCCCCACACAGTGAAAACCTGGGTTGTGAAGGTTTCATTTCAACTTTATCACCAGTTTTGCCCACACCACCACAGGCAGAGGGTTTTCTGTCCCTCCGTGCCCCCATCCCTGTCCATTTGAAGAACAAGTTCTGCTTCACTCCCACTGCAAGATTAAGCTCGACCACAGCCACCCCTCACCACAGCCACCCTTCATCCTTACCTTGCTGAGTCTTGGCATTCAGGGGCAGCACATCCTGGGCTTCAAGTGGAAAAAAAAAAAAAAATTGAAAAAAAAATTTAAAAATTGAAAATGCTCGCCCCAAATCGCAGTGCCCCAGTGGAGTGTGGTGCACAGAGGGTTTGTCCGTGGCAGCGAGGGCTCGGAACAAAGTTGTGGGGTGGAGGGGGAGGAGAGGGTGATTGACAGCCCTGGGCTGAGCCTCATCCCTCACCTTGGGCCATGCGGTCTGATTGGCCGCCTGCTGACATCCCCGAGCCCTGCACTTTTTAATAGACGCTTTTGGATGATCTACGGGGGAAAGGCTTGGAGAGGTGTGTTTCTGACAAGCCAGAAAGTCACCCGAGCCACGAGGGACTTGGCTTCACTCTTTTTACCCCCCCCCCCCCCCTTTTTTTTTCCTTTTTTTTTTTTTTTTTTCCTGGGAGGAGGGGGATTCTTCATTTTGGCACTTCATGTTTTTCTGAAAACTTCGCGGCGATTTTCCCCTTGCACCAGCCTGGACTAATGGATTACCACCTGCTTGGACTAATTCTGTCTTTTCTCTTCAATGGCACAAAGGTCCTAGCCGGTTACCCAATTTGGTGGTAAGATTCCTTCCTCCCCTCGCCCTTCCTCTCCCTATGATTGATTAATGAATTCATTAATTATTAGCCATGGGAGCTGTGTGTTCCTTCCTTTTCACCCCTCGCCCTGCGGAGCTGCCCACGGCTGCATGCTGGAGTTGAAGCGTGATTTTTTCAGATTTGACCTGTAATTAATGAAATCTGTGAAAAGTTTGGGCGTTATTTTGAAAGGGCCATGCCTGGGTTTCCCTTTGCGCAAATGGAGGCTTCCCTACCACTCTTAATTTCTCCATTTTCGGCACTGTAGCGATGGGCTCTTGGTTCAGATGTGAAAGGATGCGGTTTTATTTCCTTGTGCAATGGGAATTTTGTCTCTCTGCCACAGGGATTTTCTTCCTTTCCATGAAACTGCAATTGATGCTTTAAAAAAATTTTTAATTCTATTTTCTGTTTGGTTGCTGCGTTTTTTGGACTTCTTTCCCTTCTTTTGTTGTATTCTGTCATGTGAATTTAGTCCGGCAAATAACACAAATGGCACCTGAGAAAACATTCATTAGTAAAATTGCTTAAAGGTAGATTTTGTTAATTTTAATTATGGAAATGTCGCTAATTTCCTTGCACCAATGAGAAAAATAGATTTTAAAATAATTGGTTGTATCTTATAATGAGACTGGTAAGTAACCAGAGTTACTTATTTTAAAAATAAATCTAACTCTATATAAATGAATATCATAACAAAATGCAATTGGAAGCCCTTTAGAACAAGAAATATAGAATTAAATATTCCAGGTCATTTAAATCCAGCAGCCAGCGAGTTGCATAACAAAATATTTCAGTTTATTTCTGTCTTTATGCAGGATTTCTTGCTGGAATATCTCTTGTTAAGTTTCTGTATGTGCCAGGTAGGGGCTGTGAGCCTGATGATCCATAGGGAAAAGAGGGAGATGGTGGAATTTGGTGCTACTGAGATTCTTGGGTTATTTTCGCTTTTCCAGAAAAGTCTCTCTTCTTTATTACTGAATTAGATCCTTTCAGTGCCAACATGGAGATGGCAAGAAGTAGGTGGGAGTGAACTTGGGAATGGACTGCCATGTCTGGGAATATTTAGAATTCAGGAGGGAAAAGATGAATTTTTTTTTTTAATAATCCATTTATTACCGTGGACTTTGGGATGAGAATGTGCCGTTCCAGAGGAGAAAGACTGAGAGCACAATGAGAAGTCCCCGCTCAGGAAGCGTTTCAAAGCTCCGCAGGTTCATGAAATGGCTAAATCACAGCAGGTTTTCCTGGAGAATTAAATGATTTCCTCGCCCTGAGTGTGGCTGCTGAACTTCAGACCCTCCGCCCAGGGCAGGGGAGGCTCCTGAAATACAGAGAGCAGCACTTTGATTCCTTCCATCCCTTTGCTCCCCACCTGGCACCGCTGTGCGGGCACGGGGCACGCGGAGGAACAGGTCAGGATGCCAGGGCAGGAGCTGCCTGGGCAGGGACAGCTCACCATAGCATCAGCTCATCCCACCAGCCCCTGAGCTGCCCCAGGCTTTGATATAAATCAGGATTTAATGCCCAAATCAAAATCAAGGAGGGTTTCAAGTCTCAGAGCGAGCAAGCGAAACCTTCTCGATGAAAAGGTCTCTTTTTCCCCTGTGAAGCAAAAATGTCCCTGTGAGCAAAATGTCTCCTGTGCCTGTTTTCAGGAGCAAATGCTGCAGACAGGTGTCTGCCCAATTCCCTTCTCCCAAAGCCCTCTGAGCTCACCCCAAAGGAACAATACAGAGGATGTAGGGCACAGACACCAGGGGCATGGCAAGCAGCATCCCTGGAAAGGAGGGAGTCGAACACACTCGCCACAGAATTTCATGCACAGATCCAGGTTTTGTGTATTTTTATAGATTCTGGCAACATTAAACTGCCAGAGAGTCTCTGCTGCTCTGGAGGGGCGCGAGGAGGTGCCCAGTGTAGGACTGAGGTTGCAAATGCTGTGGGGTTTTAGAGGTTCAAGGCTGAGGGAGCAGGAGGGCAGAAATACCTGGGCCAGGGCTCCCTGGTGCTCAGGCACAGACAGTGCTCCCAGAGCACACAAATTCAAGGCCTCCTTTGGTCCCATGGAAGGCTTTCAATATCTGCTCTGTGGAAATGAGGTTTATGTGGTGGACTCTGTCACGGCGTTATCTATGCTCTTAAAAAAAACATCATTTTCCAATTGTCTTCCTGGTCCTCTGCTCTTCAGGCAGGCACAAAGGAGGCTTTGGGGGGATGAGCCCCACTTGCAGGGTTCAGCACACCCCAGAACAGGGCAAAGAGAGCAAAGGTGGGGCTCAGCATCAGCCTGGGCCCCTGTGCTGCTGTCCTGCAGCACTCCAGGCCAGGCTTAGCTGGGGCTCCCCTGGGCTTCCTTAGCCCCAGCTAAGCCCATCTCTGCTAAACTTGAGACTTTCAGGGGGGCTGCTCATGTGGAAGAGCCCCAAGGATGCCGACAGTGCCCTGTCCTGCTGGCACCTTCCTGGGGATTTTCCTGCTGGATAGGGAATGTTTTGGCAGCAACATCGAAACAGATCCTTTCTGCTGTGGGACAGAAAGGAGAAAAAGGTTTATTCCTGTGGTGGGGAGGAAGTGTCTGTGTGTGCCCTAGGAAAAGGAGAGTGATGAGAATGGGGTCTGATCTCCTTGTAAATGGGTTTGGGGGTGGCTGGAATAATCCTGCTGCTCCACTGTGAGCCAGACAATGCCAGGAGCCCGGCAGCAGTGACACTGCAGGGATAAAGGCAAAGGGATGGAGCTGCTGAGGGCTTGTGGGGTGTGTTTTACTGAGGGGCCAGGGAAGGACGTGGTCCTTGACATTGTCCAGAGAGAGGGGAGCCCAAGTGCAGCCCTGGAGCTCTGCAGGGGGGTCCTGCCCCAGCTCAAAGGGAAGGTCCCTGTGCTGCAAACCCAGAGCTTGGTGTCCAGACCCACTGGTGGCTGCAGGATGGCGAAGCCAAGAGGGGGTTTCAGCCCAGCTGGGTTGTTGGAAACTCCCTGACATCTCCCTGTCCCCGGCCAGGCAGCTCTGAGTCAGCTCCAGGGGTGGCTCAGGCTGTGGATGTAACCTCCAGGGAGGTATTTTGACACAGGTCCAACCCTTCTTCACATGCTGCCATCCCATCCCAGCCGTGAGAGGGAACAAACAGGGCACAGATGGGAAAAGGTCACTGAAATGCTGCCTGTGAGTGCTGACAGGAGGAGCTGAGGCCAACAAAGCTCCCTCAGAGACGTGTCCAACACTTTGGCTGTCTGGCTAGTGCTGCTAAAAGAGAAGGAGGAGATGGGGAGCTGTGGTGGGGCCATGCAGACCAGGCTGCTGCTCCTCCTGACCCCCCAGGAGTGGCGTGGGTGGGGGCAGAGTGGGCAGCAGGGCTGTGGGCAGAGAGGGCACAGCTGGGCTGACCTGGGGCTGCCCGTGGAAACAGCCCTGAGTGCCTGACTGGCCACAAGTGGTCAGGAGCTTGTGGCTCTAAAGGGTTTTGTGGGCTTCAAGGTTTTCTCCAGTGTTTTTCCCAGCCAGGCTTAGCCAGTGGGAACTCCCTGCTGAGTGGGATGGTCACTCCATGCCATGAAAAGCAGAGTTCTGGAGCTGGGATTGGGGTGGATCCTGAGTCCTGAGCAGCAGGACAGCCCCAACCAGTGCCAGAGCAGATCTGCAAGGATGCACAGCCTCACGAGCCTCAGGACTTGGCAGAGTGTTCCAGGTGGCATCTCTTGCTGGTTCTGTCCCTCCCCAGTGCAGAATCCCAGCGTGGTTTGGGTTGGAAGCCGCCCTGGAGGTCGTTTTGTTCCAGCCCTGCCAGTGGAGTCCTGAGCTCAGCAAAGCTTCAAAATGCTCCCAGAGCATGGCAGCACGGAGCAGTTGTCACATTGTCACATTGCTGACCTTCAGGAGGTCTCATTCCCTCCGAATGAACCCCTCGTGTCTCCTGGAGTGCCCCAGGACAAGGGCAGGGCCAAGACAAGCCTGGAGCCACAGGAGCCCAGGGAGAAGGGCTCTGACTCACTCAAGAGCCTTAAGACACAAATCTCTGTTACCAGTCACAACTGAAGTCAGAAGTAAATTTAAGTGGCCACAAAGAGCTCTGAAGAGGCTGCTGAATTTCAACCAGCTGTATCTTATTTGACTCCTTCACTGAAAGCAGCGTTTGCCAAAGTGAAGCCCTTGCTAAAGGCACCCCAAGGAAGAGCACTGGGAATTCAGGGGGGGGTTGGCCACCCCACCCTCTCAGCTGGAGGTGCTGGGGTGGGGGAGGCCACAAACCAGTGATTTCCCATGCCAGCTGTGCTGCCTGCTGAGCCACTGCCCCAGCTGATGGGGTCAGGCAGGAGCTCACACCCTGTGACAGGGGCAGGGCTCGGCCTTCAGGAGGCTGAGCTAGAACAGAGACTGGACACAGCTAAAGAATAAACTGGGGATTCATTAGGAGGCCTCAATGGATCCACCTTGGGCAGCACAAGAGCCCAGCCAGGGCTGCACTCCAGGTGAACCCAAAATGGTCACAAAATGCCCCGCTGCTCACAGGGTCTCTCACTTCTATAAGCTCTGATCCATTTGCATATTGCAGTTAATTGTCCAATTACAGCTTTAGGTTATCAAGTCCCATCCTGCTTGTTTTTCTCTCTTCAGCCCATGTTGTTTCTGCTCTTGGGCCTGAGATCTGGATCATTTGTCCTTGGTCCCCAGCTGGAGCAGGAATTGTTTTGTCTCCCTGCTCTGTGCAGAGAGCTCACCATCCCCTCATGTGAAGCCCAGACCCACACAGTAAAGCAGCAAAGAACCTGAAAAATAGAAAAACTGAAACCTGAGGCATCAAGGGCACGTTGACAGGGTGGCAGGAACAGAACTCACAGCTGGGTTCACCTCAGATCCAGTGAGCTAGGAGCACCTGGGGCTCCTGTGATGCTGTGGGCAGCTCAGGCACCGCTCAGGAGGGATGCAGAGGAACTGGAGTGTGGCCAGTGGGGCTGGAAAGGTGGAAAGGGAGGTCCTGGAC